TGGTACACCTTCAGAGTATGAATTACAAAGAATAATCAATGTTCACTTACTCCAACAAACAATAGACACTATTAATATATACCGCCAAGTTATGTTTGTAAACACTATTACTATTTTTTGGAACATCAGCACAGCTTCTGCTCCCATCCACATCCAGTGAACAAGAGAGAAGTAATGTATAAGAGCTCCTATGCTTATACAAAGTGGCCTCACTGATATTTTATCAATTCCAGTGACAAAAATAATTATCACAAAGCACAATGAGAGACATAGCTGAATGTGAAACTTGCTAGAATCTTTCTTTCTTAATTTTCTATTATTAAAGATACCTTTAAATATCAATTAGGACTGACATGTACACATACTTGAATACCAGCAATGTTAGGATTGTTAAGATTAGTCCAACCAATGAGAGAGACACTCCAACATAAGTGATTGTGTCAAATTCAAATTTAACACCAAATGGAGGAGGAGAAGTACCATTGCCAGTCCTAGTAGATATATCCTAACAGAATTATCAATAAACATTAAACATACAGTATTTATTGAAGCTTACAACAAGCAATGCAAAGTTGGTTAAGTGATCACAGTAGCAAGTGACATTACTGAGATCATTAGGATCAACTACTGTAGTACAACCATCAATAGACCAATTACCAATGCCATCTGAATAAAGCAACAAAATCAAACTAGAATAGAGCATTATTACCTGCCCCAGTAAAGTTCCAGAAAGCACAACGAGGATTTGTAACATGCTGTCAATAATAATTTGAAAATGTAACATATTCTTATCAGTGACAGCCTTACTTCTTTGTTTAATGCTAAAATGATTGCAACTGGATCAATCAGTTCAGAACCATCAGGTATCCCACCAACTATTATACTGATAACAGCTGAACCTACCACTGTCATTACTGATGATGAAGAAATGACCTCTTCATGAACTGGAAAGAAGTTTGCTTTCTTGTATAAGGTTGCTGCTATATCAATGCTCTCACTGTTTGTGACATTGAGGATACTTAATGGTACAACTACCCTGGCTATTTCTCTGTTTGTTAGGTTACTTGATGAGTCTTGCATGTTAAAGTTTAAAGTATTATCTAAAGGATGTAGCCATCATTATGCTTTAGTGCAGCAATTAACTTACTGAAGGCAAAACCAGATATTGTTAGTCCATTGAAATTAGATCTTTCAAACTTTAGAATTATTATATAATCATAATACGCATTGTCATATAATGTTGCTAACATACACTTTCTCCTCTAAAAACAATATCTTCTGCAGTCACTGATATGCTGCTAGTGTAGTTTTCTAAGTTAATTCCAATTCTTACAAATTCCTCAAATGACTGTATGATACTGTTAGTATACAAAATATGCATAAGTTTATAGTAATGTATTATAATATAATTGTCTCACTCATTGGACAATAGCTCAAGTACATCAAATGGCCATTCTTCAATCAAATCATTAGTTTGAATTATAAAACTAATAGTCTATAATAGATGCAATTATTATGACCTAAATTATACCTTCTTACCTTATTAAACAATGATTGAGTGGCTAATTGTATTTGGCTCATAAAAACATTCACAATATCTTTTGTTACATTTGCTATGATTAAAATATTATTTGCATTTTGATCAGCAAGAACTCTTGATGCATTTTCTACTAGAATACTCATATTTTTAGAAACCAAATCAGTATTGAATATTGTGATGTTTACCTACATATATATACACAAGTATATACATTTATCAATTATGGAATACTTTAGATAATTCAATAAATCCATTTGTAACATCAGTAGTAGCACACATCATCACATCTGGTGATTCCCAATCAGAAGAAGCAGAACATATTCTACTTGCTGTAGCTCCATTAGGGCCACTAGGACACAATATGGTAACAGTCATTCCAGCTAGTGTTAGTGGCCAATCAAACTGACCATGCTCATTAACATCGGTTTGGGGAGAGCAATAATTATCTACAAATAAATAATTCAAAGGAAAAACAATGCACATACAAACTTTGAAGTGTACTAGTTGGCATTACTGTTTTGGCAAAAGATGTTGAAGAGTGGGTAGTAGTAGAGTAAAAGAAAGAAAATTGAAAGGAAGAATGAATGGCTGTAGACATGACTGTTGAGTGAACAGATGAAGTTTGAAAGGCAGTAGAGTGAGTGTTAGAAGAAAAAATGACTGTAGACAGAGCAGTAGAAATAACAGCTGAGGTCTGAATGCGAACAGACGAGGTCTCCATTACAGTAAAGTGAACATCAGCTGAAGAATGAACAACAAAAACAGCATTTGATGAAACGGCTGTGGAAAAACTTGTCATCCTACCACCACATGATAAAGGAATGGATATTACCCTGCCATTACAGACACTTGAATTCAAATGACTGAACATTATAGTTTGATTTAGTATTGTCTCAGCACTAGATAACACATAACCATCATGTTTTTCAGGACAGAAAGGCACTGACTCATTAAACATATAATATTCAAGTGTTGCATTAACTGATGTCATACAAGTATCATTGGGAAATAAATCTATCCAATAAAATGTCACACTGTCATCTTCAGCGATATGAAATGGTATTGCATGCATCTGTGGTATATTAGCAACAATGGAACCTGTACATAGTGTCTTAGGATGATATAATGGATACATGTATAACTTACTCTTGTATGTTATGCAAGATGAATTAGCTATGGCAAAATCCATCCACAGATTTATGACAGGGACTCCAGCACAAAATTCATTTGTAGAAAGGTTGAATAATAAGAAGGCATTAATAGAACCTGTACCACTGACATTCACTACAAGAAGAGAATTCAAAAGGAGCAGAGAAGGCCACATATCCAACGGCTAGACTGTTTGTAGCTAATACATAATGGTCCACTATAATGTGCTGTTAGTAGTATCCTGAGACTATACTAATGTATAATTATTTTAATTGTCTTGCCACTATAGGCTGCATGTGGCTTGTTTATTACATGCAGGCATCCTGCATTTACACCCCCATATAATTTATCCTCCAGGCTATATAGATGATATGCCTATGATAGAAAGTAACTTTATTGAATGTACAGTACATGAATATCAAAAGTGTGTATGATATCAAATAATTCATAAGTCTACATTGAGGTGTTCATTGTTCCTTCTTTATCGTCAAATGTAGCATTTTCGATAGCTAAAGCAGCTCCATTTGCTTGACTAGTAGTAATGTATGTATTGTACTTGTGTGCCTTAGGAGTGGTTGTTGAGTAGGTCCTCTTTTGTGAAGGACAGAATATAGCTGTCCACTGCCTCCTGTATTCGCTGTTTAGTAAAATAAAGAAAACAAATATAAAAAATCCTTGAAATGCATTAAGAAATGCGAATATAAACTGGACTGTATAAGATACATTAGGCTCAGATATGAAAGTGAAGGCAGCAGATACCCAAGTTAAACCAAAGAGGATCATAATACCAGTAAAAGACAGTAACATCTTTAGTACTTCTGATACAGAGAAAGAGGAATTGCTCATCTGCTTTTTTCTTTCAATGGCATTTTTTAAAGTAGCTCGAATGACAAGTATGAACACAATAATATTACAGAGGATGATAAGAGCAATGGGAAATAGAAATGCTGCAAAGAACGGTATCTCTTTACCTATAAAACAACTATCAGAAAGACAAAGTAATTAAATGAGATAACAGCTAGTATATGCACATGGAGATAATACTTACAATCCCAAGCCCTTGTCTAGTGTAATGTAGTAGTTATAATCAATGCCTGATAAGACTGCTACTGGTATTAGTGGTACACCTTCAAGAGTATGAATTACAAGGAATAATCAATGTTAACTTACTCCAACAAACAATAGACACGATTAGTATATACCGCCAAGTTATGTTTGTAAACACTATTACTATTTTTTGGAACATCAGCACAGCTTCTGCTCCTATCCACATCCAGTGAACAAGAGAGAAGTAATGTATAAGAGCTCCTATGCTTATACAAAGTGGCCTCACTGATATTTTATCAATTCCAGTGACAAGAGTAATTATCACAAAGCACAATGAGAGACATAGTTGAATGTGGAACTTGCTGGAATCTTTCTTTCTTAATTTTCTAATGTTAAAGATACCTTTACACACCTATTAGGACTGACATGTACACATACTTGAATACCAGCAATGTTAGGATTGTTAAGATCAGTCCAACCAATGAGAGAGACACTCCAACATAAGTGATTGTGTCAAATTCAAATTTAACACCAAATGGAGGAGGAGAAGAACCATTGCCAGTCCTAGTAGATATATCCTAACAGAATTATTAATGGACATTAAACAGTATTATAATGAAAACTCACAACAAGTAATGCAAAGTTGGTTAAGTGATCACAGTAACAAGTGACATTACTGAGATCATTAGGATCAACTACTGTAGTACAACCATCAATAGACCAATTACCAATACCATCTGAATGAAGCAACAAAATCAAACTAGAATAGAGCATTATTACCTGCCCCAGTAAAGTTCCAGAAAGCACAATGAGGATTTGTAACATGCTGTCAATAATAATTTGAAAATGTAACATATTCTTATCAGGGATAGCCTTACTTCTTTGTTTAGTGCTAAAATGATTACAACTGGATCAATCAGTTCAGTGCCATCAGGTATCCCACCAACTATTATACTAATAACAGCTGAACCTACCACTGTCATTACTGATGATGAAGAAATGACCTCTTCATGAACTGGAAAGAAGTTTGCTTTCTTGTATAAGGTTGCTGCTATATCAATGCTCTCACTGTTTGTGATATTGAGGATACTTAATGGTACAACTACCCTGGATATTTCTCTGTTTGTTAGGTTACTTGATGATTCTTGCATGTTAAAGTTTAAAGTATTATCTAAAGGATATAGCCATCATTATGCTTTAGTGCAGCAATTAACTTACTGAAGGCAAAACCAGATATTGTTAGTCCATTGAAATTAGATCTTTCAAACTTTAGAATTATTATATAATCATAATACGCATTGTCATATAATGTTGCTAACATACAC